TATAAGCTATTCATCATTATATATACATACACAGTATGTATATATATATATATATATCTCCATCTTTCTACCTATCTCTATATATACTTTACCAATCTACCTCCAAACATCCATGCTATGTCAAACAATAGGATCACAACCTGTGGGTCAGAGGTACTCCAAACAGATCCCACAATCACACTCCCGAGGTTCCTGTATCATAAACAATACAGTATATACTGTACATCCTGCTGGGGTGCCACAATGCCAAACATATACCCGAGAACCATGAGAAACCTTAACTCGGACAAAAAAAATAAAAGATATACAGTACAATGAGCTGATAGTCTTATCTATATAACATCACCTGCATAGGCAATGCCACACACAGCATGCCCTTTCGTGCCTTACAAGGGACACATGGACCGCAGGTGGACTGTGGCAGTGTGTGTGTGAAGTTGGTCAGCCACAGAGAAGTTACTGAAATCTCAGATTCTAAAGAATTGTACCAGCATTTCTAAGATGCTAAAAGCACCAGTTCTGATGAAAGAGATATAAAGCAGAAAGGATGCCTCGAATTTTTTTTAGCTAAGCTATCAGCCTATCTCCCCTATCACACATCATAGCACCCCATGCCCCCTATTGTCACCCCCCCCTCTATAATTCCTGATCAATAAATAATTGTAATCCCAGGTAGCCTAAGCAGATTCCCAGCTAGTAAAAGGGATCTTTGCCTGTTCTTTGCTTTCTGCTCAGTGCTATCTGATGACTTTTAAATCTGCCTTCAACCCTCAAAGCCTCTTACCTGTATAATCCAGCCAGTGGCAATGAGTTCCAGGGGGGATCATTGGAAAGATCTAAGACTTTTTAAAAATCCATTTGCACCAAAAAAAAAAAAAACATAAACCTTGTTCATCCAGCTTCCCCAATAGTAATCTTCTTCCTAGGGATTAGAAGGTGCTCTGGCTGTTTTGTATCACTCCACTATTTGCAGAAGAGGGGGAAAGACATCACAGCTTAGACTGTGTTGTTAGGAAAAAAAAAAGTGGCCAAGATTTGGAGGGTGGAAGCCTTGCTCATACTTCCACCCCCTCCACCTTTAAATCATATTCCAGTGTCGCCTTGTTGTGCATCAAGCATTAGGAGTTGCTGCTCCTCTGCGCAGTTGCAATAGGACAGGTTCGCTGCTTCCAGTCTCGGTGCAGATACAGCAGCTCAATAGAAGCAGCCCTGCCTATAATGTGGAGGCTGCCTGTAACTACTCTGTGCATTCCTCCTATGTCTTAAAGGGATATCGCATCCATTGCTGCTCAGCCTTGCTTCTGTGACTGCCCCAGCAAACTTTCAGTGTCAGCTGCAGCAGTGTCTCATTACACAGATCGATCTGTGTTGGTTCAGGACATTTAAATTCGCTGGGAAAGATGTGGTCTGTTGCTTGCGAGGGGGAGTGATGACCACATGACAGATCAGACTAATAGAGCATCCTAATTCTAGCATGGCAGGGACATGAAAGCTGGCTGTTCTGACAGTACATTAATGGAGGGACTGGGCTGTGACAGGCAGAAGCTCTACACAGATATATATTATCTTTATTGCCGGAGCTGAGGAAGCAGATGTTGGGTGTTGCACAGCAGATCTTTATGATAGTAAAATGCTGGGGAACTAGAAGCTGCATCATGACCTGCTGGAGAACTATAATCTCCTTTTGTGCTGCTGAAGAACTATAAGCTCCATCAATCCCTGCTGGGGAAATCTAAGATTTATCATGTGCTGCTAGAGAACTATAAGCACCATATTCAATGCTGGAGAACTATAAGCTCCATCAAGTCCTGCTGGAGAACTATAAGCTCCATCAAGCCCTGCTGGGGAAATATAAGATTTATCATGTGCTGCTAGAGAACTGTATAAGCACCATATTCAATGCTGGAGAACTATAAGCTCCATCAAGTCCTGTTGGAGAACTATAAGCTCCATCAAGTTCTGCTGGAGAACTATAAGCTCCAACAAGCCCTGCTGGAGAACTATAAGCTCCATCATGTGCTGCTGGAGAATCATAAGCTTCATCAAGCCCTATTGGAGAAATATAAGCTCCATCAAGCCCTGCTGGAGAACTATAAGCTTCATCAAGCCCTGCTGGAGAAATATAAGCTCCATCATGTACTGCTGGAGAACTATAGCTCCATCAAGCCCTGCCAGAGAACTATAAGCTCCATCAAGTCCTGCTAGAGAAATATAAGCTCTATCATGTGCTGTTGGAGAACTATAAGCTCCATCATGCACTGCCTGAGAACTATAAGCTCATTCAAGTGCTGCCTCAGAACTATAAACTCCATAAAGCCCTGTAGGAGAAGTATAGACTCCAGCATATCTTGGCGGGGCTTATAATCTGTGATATAGACTAATTTGTAGAATATTTAGAAGAGAGGGTGAAAATTGTAATGAAGATAATTGGCACACTTAAATGTCACATATGCTTTAACATGTCATTTCAGAAGTCATATTGATTATCTTAAACTCAACAGATTTAATTAAAATAATATCCGGTGATCCTGGTCATGAAGGTCCTTGTTCAGGAATTCCCTGCAATAGGATGACAATGATCTGTCCCCGATACCCAGTTTGCCCCTCCTTGTCACTCTGTCACAAGGGCTTGTGCTTGCATGTAGGCAGGAAAATGGCTGTAAAGAGGCTGAAGAAGATCAGCAGCAGTTGCAACATAGGTGGAAAAAAAGGCGAAAACTATTTTAACAAGATAATAAAATGCCAGTTCTTTAGGATACACAGTGCTTCAGCAATCTAAATGTAATTCAGTTAGAGTTTAGGTCATCTACGTTCCATCAGTGTTGCAGTCCCTGTTGGCAGTTTGCATCAAAATAATTTTTTTTTATATTCAGATAAGGTGAACTAAGAAACTTGTGTGTATATATTCTGTATTAAAGAAAATAATAATGCGTCAAAAACCACAATTGCTCACTAAGGGGTCTATTTATATTTGCTCAAAAAGCAAGAATAACATCCTTGGGAATATATTTTTTCCTTCCAGCAGGGCATTTTTTTGTCTTTTCCAGGTAAATGTATCTTCTTTCACATGTGAATGTAACCAAAGTGGGCGATTGTACAATAATATAAAATAGTGTCTGTTTCTATGGCAAACAAAATCCTAGGAGGGCGATCGTACAATAATACAGAATGGTGTGAATTTCTATGGTGAACATAACCCAGGCCCTCCTGAGACCCGCACAACCCTCTTGAGACCCTGCACAGCCCTCCTGAGATCCTGCACAGCCCTCCTGAGACCCTGCACAGCCCTCCTGAAACTCTGCACAGCCCTCCTGAGACCCTGCACAGCCCTTCTGAGATCCAGCTGTATTGCTGGTGGTGGATACTCGACGTTAGTGGAGGGGGTGCTGGCGGTGGATGCTCATTGAAGTGGGTGGGGGTGCTTGCATGGATGCACATTACCGGGAAAGGGGGTTTGAGGGGTGCTTGCGGCTTGTTAATGAGGGGGTGTGTGTTGGTGCTACCTCTGGGTCCAGCAGCTCTGTCTGGCACTGATGTGACATCACTGGTTGCCAGGAGATGGGTGGAACGCCAGCCACAGCATCCTGCTCAGCTCCTGGTAACCAGTGATGTTAATGAGCTAGGTGGGACGCCGGCAGGGTGTCACAGGTTGTTAAGAGCTCTTAGCAACCTGGGACACTTTGGTTGCCCCCTGATCCCTGACCCCACACACACACTTGCCACCCCTTTGCCCATGTGACACAATGCGATGCTGCCTGTTCATTATAGGGATGGCTCTGCCTGATAAGATATAACAAGAGTTTAGATATTATTTGATCTGCACGCCACTTTTTCATCACAATACCCACATTCATGATTCTTCCTATGTTTGCACTGACCAATCCCCTTGTAAAAATGATTAATTAATTTGTTATAAAACTGGAGGGGGGGGGGGCAATTTTTTTAAAATTTTAATGTGGCAGAAGTTGGACTCCACTCTACTGTACTAGTTTTATTAGTTTCAGTTGAAACTTGAAAGTCATGCCGAGGGTGGTAACAAGCTATGGAATGACAGTATAAACAAATGTCTGGATTGGGAGTGAGTTTGCTGCCGAGGATCATGTTCCCTCGCATGCATTGATCAGTTTCACATAAGGAAATGCAAAAGGATTAGCTGGTGGCACGGTGACTTGGCGCCAGTATCTTTGGATCCCCAGCTCGCAGCCTTTCTGTGATTAATGGCTTCTGTTATCTTTTCTCCCTCCATTCAGTAAAAACTCTTAGCACTTGTCTGAGCCCCCTATTGGCTGCTTTCTCGCTGATTTGCAAAACAAATCCATTCTTAAGGTTAAATTATTCACCAAGCTTGCTTGCTCTTACAGCTGTTTGTGAGCTCCATGCAGCCAAATAGGTCATATGTTACGCAGACTACGGATGTCAGATAGATTTATTATAGCAGATGAAGACCCAACACAGCAACTTTCAAATATGTGTAGCTAATGCATGGCATAACATGAAACTGAATTGCTTTTTTAATATAAATGATTAAAAATACCTTTATTAGAGTTTGTTCACAGTCATGTGGCACCTTGGCTGGTGCGGTGAGCAGCGAGGTGTCTTATGAAAGCGTCCCTTCTGGTAATGTCACTCAGCGCTCTTGTGATCTAACTCTTTCCTCCTGCAAGCAGGCACCCAATTCATTTGCATGCCAACTTGAAACCACACATCAAGAGTGCACGTGGCGGGGTGACAACGCCGTTGCTGCATTATAAGGTAGTGGGTAAGCGTTGTGACCATGAAAAAGAAAGTGAAACTAAAATAACATATTTTTTTTAAATAAAGTTAAAGAAAAAAATAAAAGCTAAAGGTATTAGAATTATAGGGTGCATGTGCAGCAATATATACAGATGTAGTTTTTGGGTTTAGATACTCTTTAAACAACTACATTCCCAGTATGACTTTGTAGAAATTATAGGCTAACCTGAAAACCTGAGGTCAACGCTGGCAAGCTGAATCATGCATCTGCGTTCACAGCTTAACCCAACATTATGAGGGGATTGCACTCTCCTTACATTTTATTTATTTAAACCTTTCAAAATGTAGGGCTAGTTCACAACCTCCCTCAGTGCATTCCAGACAGATTTTGTCTGGAACACACTGGATTACATTCCGGCCAGCTCACCTTGTTTTGGGGCGGGAGGGGGCATGGAGGTGCAGTGAACTCAATGGCACTGCAGCCATGCCCTCCAACGCAATGCGATCGGCCACACGAGAACACATGGCACATCAGTGCCTTAGGGTGCCTGCGTTCCGGTCCGTTGCTGTCAGATTTTGCAGTGGTTGACATGAGTAATGAAGACAGCTTGTGCTGCACTGGTATTTAAAACTCAACTTTTGAATTGTTTTGTTTTTTCTTGCAGTAGCAAAGGTTACGTGTATCTACTAATCCCCTCCAGTATCCCATAGAATTGTTACATTGTATCTCGTTATTAGGATGTATTTATTTCCTATGCTCCTCAGCTCCATCTGCTGGCCATAGTGCGGTATCTTCCCGATTCACTACTGCCATAATATTTGAAGATCATTCAACCAGAAGAGTTAGTAGTCCTAAGAACATTCAAAGTTGCCCAATTCTCACAACAGCTGGTTAATTCACACAAAATGAATGTACATGTCGTTTCGCTTGACAAATAGCTATGTAATTTTTTTTTTTATATAGACCTCTTTACTTTGAGTGCAGTGCATCATGCTCTCTTCATTCACATACAATAATACAGAGAGCAGCACCAACACAGACACCCTCTGCATTATTGAGGGCTGCTCAGCTATGGTGCAGAAGCGAAGCATAAAGCTGGCCATACCTGGCTTGAATTTTGGCCGATTCCCAATGAATTTGACAAAAATCGAGCTATAGGTTGCCCTGCCGACTTCATCCAGCTAGACAAACTTTGACTAATAAATTGAAAGAGCCATGTGGAAAAAAGTCACCTGAACAGTGATGAGCTGCAGACACTGCTCGGGTATTCTGACAGCGGGAGGGAACATTTTTGACAGCGGGAGGGAACATTTTTGACAGCGAAAAGGGAAATTCCCCTATAATAATGCAGAGAGCAGCACCAACATCATCACTTCACAGACAACCTTTGAAATATTGAGGGCCGCCCAGCAGTG